TGTATATCCCAAAGGTCCTTTATAGACAGTTTATAACTCTTTTAAACCTTGTTTATTCAGAATTCTCAAAGGTATTGACGAAGTCATCCCAATGGGTCTCTTCAAGCACAGCTGTGAAACACAGACACACTTTGATAATCACATGTTGACACTAAAGGGAAACACATTGAAAGCTTTGAACAAGAGTCACTTTACAAAAGAGATTGTGGGAGCCTGGAACATGCTGATACCCCATCTTCTTTCAAAAAGTGTGCTAGAATCCTCAGAACAATTAAGCTAGTAGCTACCAAACAAGCTACTGTACAGTAGATGGGCTGAATGGACTCCTGTCATTTCTGACAGTTCTTATAAAAGTCTTTCTCTGCATCTATAGATAAGTTAAGAGAAATCATCATTCTGTATAAATCTCAAAGTTCAACAGATATAATCTGATGTGTGATGATCTTTAATATCATCTGTTTAATCATGGTTAATTAGTTTAGGAAGATTAGATTCTACAGTATGCCCATGTCCAATATGCATGTTAATATTTTAAAGAAATGTTTATACTGATTCTCAAATCTCACCCACATGGCAACAAAACTATTGGTAAAACCTCTAAAACACCACCCCCCCCCCCCGGAACCCTGTAATATATTAATCAGAAGGTCTGTTTCTCAGTGCCAGCATTACTGTGTACACACACATAGATATTAATGAAAAAGAACCTGGAAAACAGACTGATGATTGTCTTCCCAAGTTAATCTTGTGGAGGTGATTGAACATTTTGAAATGAATGACAAGAATTGGGTGCTTATTATTCTTTAATATCAAGGGAAATTAAGATGCCAAAGATGACTGAGGGACTCATCCTATCAAGGACAATGTCTGTTAGTTTTATACATCCATGCATCCATTTTCTAACCACTTTATCCAGTACAGGGTCATGGAGGAGTCAGAGCCTATCCTGGCAAGCACTGGGCCAAAGGCAGGATACACCCTGGGTGGAATGCCAGCCCAGTGCATGGCACACACACGGATGCAAACATGCAAACACTCACACAAGGGCCAATTTTTTCATAAGTCAATTAACCTTCCAGTATGTCTTTGGATTATGGGAGGATCCGGATCACCTGGAGGAGATCCACAAGGACATGGGATGACCATGCAGATTCCAAGCTGGGTTCTGTATATTATCCTAAAAATATGGGGTTACCTTAATGAAACTGATTAACTTTAACATTTGTTTCCTTTTTCATATTGCTTTGCTTTCTCCCCCAAAATTATTTCTGAAAATGTTTAACCTAAGGTTTGGTACTTTAGGATTTTTTAAATTTCGTGTTCATTCTAGATGTGTGACTATGAAAAAGTCTTTAATAATAACTGAATCCTCTTAGGATTTTATGTGTGCCAAAGACAGGACTATAGAGCACAACCTAAAATATTAGTGTACAGATAAAGAGAAAAAACTAATAAAGGTCCAATATAACCCACTTTCCACCTACTAAAGAGAGTGTTCCTATATAATATAGTAACATAATCTTCAAAATTAAAAAATACAGATATTTATTATTGTTTTTGATGGTATTCATAACGTCATTTTGTGATGTCATTGTCCTTATGGGTTGACAATCATTCACTCAGCTAAAACTATAACTGAAATAGTAAAAAAAAAACCTGCTAAATATTAGTGCTTAAAATTAATATTGATATGATTTTTTTCAAATGCTATACTTTTTACCACCCCTCATAAAAAAGACTTTTGAGCTCTCTAGCACTAAGAGGTTGAAGTCTGGCAACTTTCAGAAATCTCTTTAAAACACCAACAGCTTAACAGCTGAGAATCAGACTGTTACTATTAAGTAAATTATTTAGTCAGTTAGGCCCTGGATATAAAAGAAACACAAACAAAGACTTTGTACCCCTCAACAAGAGGAGGAGGGCATCTTCTGTAGTGGTGCCATAATTCAAATATTGTTCTTCAAACATGGAAAACTTATTTTTTTTCTGACAGGTGAAGAAAACAACTTGAAAATGTCTTGAAATTCCACAAAGTTAAAAAACAAACACCAACAAAAAGTAATGGGTGCCCATGGATGATTAAAGTTCTCAGTGCAATCAACTTTCAGGGACGACCTTGTGGGAGCCCATTTTTCACACACTGACAGTATTTGACAGAAGCTATTAAGCAGCGTGTTTACTTATACAAGAACACTAATTCCTGAGTACTTCAGGTAGTGCAAGCTTGCACTCGAACATTATCCTAAATGGCTGCTGATTGATTAGCTCATATTTTAATCTCCGTTTTAAAACTGTGTAATTATATAAAAAACAGGTTAGAGTGGCCACAGTGAAATGAACGCTGTGCCAGCTCGTCAAATCTTCGCACATCACTGCCGGCTCGGTCTTGATCTCACTACCCCCTGGCCATTTAGACATTGAGCCAGTGCCAAAGTCAGTTCGCAAACCAGAGCCAAGTCAGAGGTGCACTTTGGTGAGACCATTAAATTTCACTTTTAACTGATGTCACAGGCAACCATAATGAAATAAGCAGAAAATTGTGAACTGCCTTTGAACCAACCCCCACCTCAAGTGCGCTAAAACTTGTAGTGCCACCTACTGTCAATATCATTCTATCTATATGTGCAATCAATATCATCGGTCTGTTTCAAATACACTTATACCAACCATACGGTGTTGTGTCACTAATCTGGTCCATTTAAGTGATTAACCTATATTTTCTGATATTTCATATTAATCACCATCACCAACCAGCCACTTCCAATAGCAGCTATATCACCCTGCAACTCACAACTGGCAGCCCACTGAAGCTAAAAGCGTGTAATTGAATGAAGAGGATTTGAAAATAAAATAAAAAAAAAACATACAGTACTCTCGTTTCTCTTCATCTCGTACAAATCTTTCACCTTTTACTAAAGATTTCAGTGGAGAGCAACATGAATGAGTTTCATAAATGAGTTTGTGCCTCCCTGCCTTCGGGTTTGCCAGCAGACATCCAGTATCATCCTGCAACCCACTGAAGCTCAGCAGGTATGAGTCTGGTCAGTTCCTGGATGGGAGACCTCCTGTGAAAAACTAAGGTTGCTGCTGAAAGAGGTGTTAGTGGGATCAGCAGGGGGTGCTCACCCTGCAGTCTATGTGGATCCTAATGCCTCAGTATAATGACAGGGACACTATACTATAAAAAGGTGCTGTCCTTCTGATGAACTGTAAAACCAAGGTCCCGACTCTCTGTAGTCATTAAAAATCCCAGGGCGTTTCTCGAAAAGAGTAGGGGTGTTACCCTGGTGTCCTGGCCAAATTTCCCATTGGCCCTTACCAATCATGGGCTCCTAATAATCCCCATCTCTGCAGTGGCTTCATTACTCTGCTCTCCTCCCCACTACCAACTGATGTGTGGGGAGCGTTCTGGCACACTATGGCTGCCGTTGCATCATCCAGGTGGATGCTGCTCATTGGTGGTGGGGGTGGAGGGGAGTCCCCATTACCTGTAAAGCACTTTGAGTGAAGTGTCCAGAAAAGAGCTACAGTATACAAGGGAACAAGTAATTTATTCCATGCTGAAAAAAGAAGAAAGAGAACACAACGTTTCGGCCGTGGAGCCTTCTTCAGGTGTGAGAAGGCTCCACGGCCGAAACGTTGTGTTCTCTTTCTTCTTTTTTCAGCATGGAATAAACCTATTACTTGTTCCTTTGCAGCCTACGCATGCTGACGCAGCTACCCACCTGAACTACTACAGTATACAAGTGTAAGCAATTATTAATTATTATAATAGCTGCTTATCCAATTCAAGGTCATGGTGGCCAAGAGCCTATCCTGGGAGCTTTGGGCGCAAGGCTCGATATACTCTGGATGGGATGCCAGTCCATCGCAAGACACACACACACACACTAGGGTCAGTTTTTGCAGAAGCACACTAACCTACCTGTATGTCCAGAGGAAACCCACATGAATATGGAAAGAACATACAAACACACATACAGCACCCCTGGTCCAGAATTGAACCCAGGACCCCAGTGCTGTGAGGCAGCAATGTTTACCACTGAAACATCATCAACTAATTCATATTAAGTTGCTTTAGAATTGTACAGTATTGACAATATTACTGACGCACCTAATGCCACATACAGAGATATACAGTACCGTATAATACAAACTGAAAGAGACAGGCTGGTACACAGTGAAGGTGAATAAAACAAAACTTCTCCCAGTCTCCCTAATTTTAAGAGTTCTTAATCCCAAAGCCATGGGAATTGGAGCACGTGTACTGTTTTTTTTTTATTTGTATGACCCATTGGAAAGCTTCCCTGAACACCAGTTAATCTGTCATTTCGATTGCTGGAAATGATTACGATAAAGATTTCTCTATAAAAGGTTCAAGCCGTTTGAAACAAATTACACACATTATGTTTAAACATAAGTCTTTTCGGGTACTCTGCTTAAAAACCTGTTACAGAGTAATTCTCCGGAAATGCCAACAGAAAAAAAGATAACCTTTTAGAACACCGCGGTTAAACAGAAGCATGGCAATAGCAGAATTGCCAATCTGGGGGGAAAACACCATTTTAAACAACCAAAGAATTGTATAGTCATTTCTATTAAACACATGGGATTTTCAAATACATTTTTCATCAACGCAAAAAAAAAATCTGAGCCCTCTACAGGGCAAGCATCCACACCGGTTTTACTGCCGGACAAAGCTGTCTCCATAACCACGGCCAGAGCCTCTACACTCACACCCAGCAAAACGTCTTGCTGTTTTCTTTACACACAAAGGCCAGTAATGGAGCAACGTGAACATCCACCCTTCTTGCTGAGCAAGCGCATCATGCCTTTGACCCTCTTTCCTAAATCCGACACCCGCCCTGTACCGTACTGGGCGATGGAAACGGGGGGGAAAAAAAAGCGAATTATCTCCAAGTCAATCTGGCAGCAGGTAGAATTATCACGCAGGGCACTGCGCATGCGCCGTCTGTGCGGGAGTGACAGGCAGCCCCGACAGGCTCCGTACCGGCAGGCTCACTATTTTGCAAGGGTCCCGCTTTTCCCCGAGGCAGCACGTCGCGCGCGCGCACCCGACGCGCTCTCCCCTTGTAAACTGAGTGGTTTTGTGGGAGGGGTCATTATTTGGCAGGGAGCGGCAAAGGGGGAGCGGAAGGGGGGAAAGCAGTTCCTAGGTACCGACGGCGGCGTGTGGATTCATTGAGCTTCACCACACAGAGAGCGGGCAGACTCAAGTGTGTGAGGAAAAAGGGAGAGACCAGAGAGAAAAAGGCAAGTGAAACAGGCATCTCCAGCCGTTTGTCGGAATAGAAGATCTGTCCTCGGATAAGGTTAGTTGCTAGCCAGCTCGATTTTTCCCTTTCCCACGGACATGCATTTGACACAAGTGCTACACCTTTGATTTCATTTATGGCCGCTTTTTTTTGTGTGCTCTGCTGATGGTGTAATCGTCTGTGTGGTCCGTTATGTCTCTCATTCGATTAACGATCCCATTCAGGTCTTAGTCAGCGCTAAACGACCACTTTAATTGTATCATCAGTATCATCAAATGGCACCTAAAGCGTTGACATGGCATCATTGCTTGATTTATGTGGCAAAATATATATAAATAGGCAGTTAAATGCAGTTGCATGGCGATGATGTGGGGATCACCTTTGTCGATGCGCCTTGTGGATTCCCTCTCTTGTAGTGTCCCGTTATTCTCGCTTGGTACTGGGTAGGGCTGTGATCTGATCACAGACATCCTTTATTTCAGACCCGTAATTGAAACAGCAGACACCAGTGCTTGATTTCTTGAAAGTTTGAATGCTTTCAACTTATTGCACCGGTAATAATATTGCGTCTTACGTTTCACGGGCTGCGATGCTTTTCGCACGACCAAACATCTGAAGTCCGCTGAAACAAGTGAATTCGGTTTAAAAACAACAACAAAGAGACTCTACAAAGGATACCGGCTTCATTAGATATCATTGCGGGTTGTGTATTGGTTTCAGTGTATTACAACGCACATAAATTGACTGAAAATATCGAAAAATAACAATTTACTTCAGCGTTGCATTCGTTCAATGTTAAAATAATCTGTTCTAATCTGAGGTGATTTATTTAGCTTTTGAAAAAAGCGCACAAACAGCTCACCTTGCAAAGGAATTAGTTTCTGCATTTACTGTACGCGTTTGTGTCCACTGTTTACTAGACGATGATAGTTTTTTTTTACTGGAAAATACATGATGTTTTATCATTTTGGTTATATCAATATGTTGTTTTCAAAACTGCAGTTTCCCATTCTGTTACAGTCATGCACATGCTTTTGTCGTTTTTTTTGCTTCCATTCTTAATTTGGCTGTTATATTTGTTAATATTGGATACCTACAGTGTAGCAGTGGTTGTAACAGATTTCGCAATTGTCATGATTTATAAGGCGTAATTGTACATTTTTCCGGTTTAATTTAACGCAATTAAGGAAGACTTTAATGAAAGCAGAGAACAGCTGAGTAACTGAAGAGCTCTTAACGTTGTTCTTTTTCTCGCATAGCTGTATAGCCTACACGGGAGATACGTTTAGAGAAAAAACGTTCATTGTTTTTGAAAGCAAATATTATCAAATCATCAACAGCATCCTGATTAACAGCAGTAAAACTTCATGACATTTTGCTGAGTAGGTGTAGTCTCTGGAATCAAAGATACGCAGTGGATGATTTAGTGCCGAGCGTCAGAATGTTATCCTGGGTGAAGTTTGGAAGTGTAGGAGGTCAAAGATAAAGTCACTTTCATGTATAGAGGGTACACAGAAACAATACTCATGAACAATGTTTCCAGACGAGGTAGAGGTCCAGTTGTTGCCTTTGGTATTGCCCTATGAGATTTCAAGGACTGGTTTTGGTATTTTCTTATTCGTATCATACATATTATGTTAGTAATTCCTGTCATTGTTTCTTAAAAATATAATTAGGTTTTCAATGTTTTTTTTTTGCAGGTTATAGGTTAACATAACCATTTAAACAATTATACTGTTATCACAGTAATGAACCATAGAAAACACAGGGTACTTTGTTACAGTTTTGGATGAGAAGTGAAAGGGTGAAGTGTTTTCATTTCAGCCGGTGGCATTTCAGAGTAATTTAAAAAGTGTTAAATGTTAATAATGTGTTTAATGTTTTTGATCATGTTAAAAATGTTTTTTTTTTTAATTCTGAAAGGTAGCAGACTAGAGGATATTAGATGGATATAGTTGCCATCAATGAATCACTTTCTTTCCTGAATGCTGTTATGAGATACTAATGGTGTTGAGTACATTGGATTGTAATTGCTTTTTACAGTGACTTTTGGTGAACGGCTGTTGTCTGGGTGCACTGCCTGAATATTGCAAATCAGATTTTTCATAATTTAGAAACAAAAGAAATGTATTATTCTGTATGTCAAATGAAGATGGACATTTTATCTTGTTTACATCATTACTGTAGTAAAACTCTGCATTGATTGCAACAGAAATTATACTACAGTAAATACTTCTAACATTGCCTGATTATGAGTGAATGGTATGATTCGCAGGTAAAACTATAGAGTGTAAAGCACACAAACTTTAATAAGTTAATCTGAAGGAAAAAATGTCTGGTATTGTAAGTACCGTACGTAAATACATTTTGTGACTATATACAATATTATGTACAGTATATTATGTTAAAAGCATGTGTTTATTTGAACTTCCTTAATAAAAAAATGCATGTTGCTCAGAAATAATTTTGAACAGCACATATACTTAGGCATTCAATGTTTCAGAAAGTGAAAAAAATGAATATTTTTCATGTATCACAAGTATCAGATTCATGGGATAAAACAGGACTGTGCACTGTCTGGAATCAGATTTCATTTTAGGCACCATTACTTTCAATTTAAAGCTGTTGAAATCCCCACTTCGACTTCCATTCCTTTATCTTGTCAAGAAATGAGAAGTTTCCCAGATTTTATTGATTCATGCAAGATGTGTCATATCTCACCCTGATGTTCTTAACTGAAGTGTTGGCAGGACTGTAGTAACCTTCAGTATTGCTAATTTGTGTAAGATATGAAATAATCTTTAAAATAATGTTCAAAATGTAAGATCCTTTGTAACAAAGGATGGGATTATTATTCATGAAGGTGGTGTTTAACTAAAGGAAAATAAGCAGTAGGACTACACAGACAACACTTTTTTAGAAGTTCAAATGGCGATTGCTTCCTTATTTGGAAGCATAACCCATAACCTGATCAATCCATTATCTGTAAGTCCTTTATTCCATGTAAGAGACACAGCCTTGAGGGGGCGCAACTGGGATCTTCTGCTGGAATCATGTGGCCAAGGTAAGACTACAGCCTGGAGGGGGCGCTACTTCATTGCAGGCATGCAAGGTGGGTGGGGACTGGGGCACTCAAACAACCCTTGTAAACATGATGGGAGCATGCAAAAACCCCAGTCCAGAAATGAACCCCAGACCCAGGAGCTGAAAGGCAGCAGTACTCTATATCCTGTCCCTCTATTCTCTCTTAGCTAGTAATTATCTAGCCTTTGGAATAAAAGATAAAAACATTCATGCTAAACTAACGTCAGTAAACCTGAACTGTACTGTTCAGAAAAACCATCGCTACTAAAATATATTCTTGATTATCTATTACCTTAAAAATATATTTTTTTTTTGCCCTAATATGTTTATAGGCCCATCTGTATGCGCTGGCATGATCGAGCTGCGTCAGTGTGAGCTGGCTTCGTACAACGGGGGAATTCTGACTTAGAGGTGTTCATACACAGATGGGAGCTTCACAACGTTGGCTCCTCAGCCGAGCACAGACACCAAATGTCTGAACCTGCAGTTTTTTTGGGGACTAAGCACCTGAATAAGTCTCAGACAGTCAAAATTAAATCACTTGAGTTTTTAAACCATATATAGATCGGACGACAAATATACCGTCATTGCATAGATTCGAGTTCTTTAAAATGTGCTGTGTAGGAGGCCTAGTTAGCGTCTAGATTTTATAAAACAATGTATTTTGAGCAAAAAATAATGCTGGCATGAAGACATTTGTTGGAGTGGCTACAAGAGAAAAATGTCATTGTACCTACTGTATATTTTATAGTACATATTGTACGTGTAGTGAAAGACAACTAAAAAATGTTTGAAGACTAGAACATTGTGGGCTTCTTTTATTTGGCGGTGCATCAGCCAGTTAATTCGCTTGTTCCTGACTCTGTGGGGAAAATTTCCTTGGATTTTCCTTGTTTTGAAAGAATTCCTAGGCAGTGCTCCTTTAGTATGGCACCACGGCAGCATGCTATTCTTAGTAGCATCAACATAAAAAGGCATCAAGAAGCTGTAGACAATATAGAGCAGGTAGGGTAGCATATCAGAAAATCCTTCAGCTTTTACAAAGGTTTCACTTCAAGTTATTTAATTCAGATAAGGGATATTCCTTCATATTTATTTTTCCTATCTAAATATGCAGTAGAGATCCACAGAGATGAAGGTGCAAAGGTGTGTGCATTTAATTGGACAAGGTGTATGAAAGACTGATTTAAAAATACTATTCTGAAACAAGAAGACACAGTAGTACTGTAAATATGTAGAGAAGGGATTTGAATGAAATCAATAATTGGTAAAGTTTCTGATCTGTTGATTTTTCACCTCTTTGTAGTTGCTGTCCTGTACTTATTATAATAAAATTATATGGGCTACATTTTTAATATGACTAATTCATTTAGTTAAGCAAGTATTGGAGATTTATTTGCAGCAGGTATGGTTCTTTATCAGGTTTCCTACTCAATTTAGCCTCCAGTGCTTTCCTGTTTTAATCACAAACCCTAGAAGTACTGTATGTTATACAGTATGAGAGAAAAAAAGACGTATTTTCACAGATGGTCACTTTTGTGGAAACTCAGTTGTAATTGGAGTCAAAGTTATTCACATACAGTAGTTACACAAATTTGATTGCGCAAAAACTCAAAGTTTCTATTATGATGCACATCTTGCTTTTTTGGGAGTGGATCAATAAATCTACATTACTTTAAAACAAGACTTGATAAAGAGTTAAATAGATATATATATAAAATAAAATTGTTTAGAAAGAATTCCCTTGCCTGCCACGATGAAGTGCAATATCCAAAAAAACATCTTGGGTGTTAAAAATGTATATTATTACAATGAAGCATACATTTATTTTCGTGAAAATGAAAACAAGAATCCAATGTAATTGTTTCTGTTGTTCTTTATACAGTACTAACAACAGTTACCATAGCAACAATGTGCATGATCTGAACCCTAACCTTTAATAGCAGCAAATATGTTTCTTGATACTGTACTTA